CGATGGCAGTGAGTTTGGTTTTTTATTTACTCACACACACACACACACATATACATACAAATACACACACACACACACACACACACACACATATATATATATATATATATATATATCTCACATATAGATATACAGTGCTGGGCACATAGAAAGCTTTCAAGTATGAATTCCTTTCCCATATACCCTGGATAATAAATCACGGTCTCAATCAAGGGACACTTCACTCACTGACTCATTCATTCATCAAACTCTATACACTATCTGCTCAATTTTTGTGTAAATCTGAAAAAGAGTCCATTAATTAAATTTTTTATTGAGGATGCAGAGTATACTGGCTAATAAGGGGACTCTGGAGTCAGACTGTTTGGGTTTGATCCTGGCTCTGCCACTTACTAGCTGGGTGATATGGGGAAATTCACGTAACAACTCTGTACTTCAGTTTACTCACCTATAAGCGAATCTATAAAGTAAATTTTCGTTGTTAATAATATAGCACAGTGGTTAAGTGCTCAGCTGCTAACTGAAAGGTTCGTGGTTCAAGCCCACCAGATGCTCCATGAGAGAAAAATGTGGTAGTCTGCTCCCATAAAGATTTATAGCCTTGGAAACCCTATAGGGCAATTCTACTCTCTCTTATAGGGTCACTATGAGTTAGAATTGACTCAATTCAATGGCAATGAGTTTTGGGTTTTGTTTTGTTATCATTGTTATTATTAAACATTGTACTCCACAATGAGAATATAGTGGTAAGCAAGTCTATCTGAATCTTAAGGTCTCTATTCCTGTTCTCTGACGCTTAAGCAAGGTATTTAAAGTAGAAAAATTTAGGCCCAAAAAGGTTAAGTGCCTCCACTGAGGCCACACAGCTAATTAGTGAGAGAGGAGCAGTGAGGGCAAGCCAGGATGAGTGAGAAAGTTCCTAATTACCAGTGATTGTATCTCCACTGCCCTGTGCAGTTCAACCATCTTCAAACATTTTAGTAACTGAAGTGCCCTGGAAGTGCAGAGTGGATTCCAGAAGACAGCTGGAATCGGCCCAGTAATTCTGCACATTCCTGACCTCCACCCTCTTTCTACATCTCATTCCTTACAGTGTTGCCCTTATACTACATGGGGATCTTTTTGCAATTTAGGATTTGGAGTTAATGGTGAAGACCACTTGGCAATACCACATCCCATGCACCATTTGTATTTTTGTGTTTAATAACCTTCAAAAAGAACAAGGGATGGGTATCTCAGAGATCTCCTATACAGGGGCAGATAAAGGTTTGATGGAGCTCAAACTGGGTATACGATTTTGAGAGCACTCTAGGAAAATCCACTGGTGTCAATTTAGTTCTGTCTCATAGCAAGCCTATAGGACAGAGCAGAATGCCCCATAGGGTTTCCAAGGCTATAAATCTTTATGAAAGCAGGCTGCCTCATCTTTCTCCCATGGAGCAGCTGGTGGGTTTGAACGGCTGACCTTCTGGTTAGCAGCCAAGTGCTTTAACCACTAAACCACCATGGCTCCTTTCTTTAAGAACAGGAATACATAATTATGAATTTAAAAGTAGGTATAAGGCACCATGCGATCTTCAGCCTATACAACTATGAGACCAGAAGAACTAGATGGTGCCTAGCTACCAATGTCAACCACTCGGAGGGGGATCAATGTAAGAGATCCTGGATAGAGAGGGAGAACAATGTGGAACAAAACTCAAAATCATTTGGAAAAAAAAAGGGGGGGGGGACCAGGTTTGCTGGTGTGATAGAGCCTGGTGGAATCACTGAGACTATGGTCCCTAGCTGCCCTTCAGGTCTGGAATTGAACCCACACCTGTGGCTTCCAGCCAAACAAAAAAGACAGGCATATGAGTTGAACCTGTACCTGAGGTAGATACACTCCTTGGGAGAACAATCATGGGAGAAAGAAGGGCTGTTTATGCACAGGGAGACAGCTCAGGGGGCAGGGGTGCATGGAGGGATGGGCACAGGGAAGAGGTAGCTATCGGGAGGAAGTGGGAGGGGAGCTGTTGCATTGTGGTAAATGGTGGTCAATGTCATGCGACAAAGTACATGTGAACTGCTGTTTGGAGAGTGAATTTGCTCTGTGAATCTTCACCCAAATCACAATTTAAAAAAAATAAGAAGTAAAAATGTAAAAAAAAAAAAAAAGTAGGTACAAGGCCTTAGAAGGGATACATACAAGTGAAAGGGGCTAAAGTTAAGCATAATTAGCTTCCTGCTAAATCCAGCTCTGCTCCTAGTCTCCTATTTTCCTGCCTCCCTCCCTTCTTGCTTCTTTATTTTCATCCATCTAACTTGCATCCACCCTACTATTCAGCAACCCCTCTGTGCCAGGCTGTTGTTGTTAGGTGCCACTGAGTTGGCTCTGACTCATGGCGACCCTGTGTACAACAGAAGAAAACAGTGCCCGGTCATGCGCCAGCCTCACGATCCTTGCTATACCTGAGCCCATCGTTGCAGCCACTGTGTCAATCCATCTTGTTGAAAGTCTTGCCCTTTTATGCCAACCCTCCACTTTACCAAGCATGATATCCTTCTCCAGAGAATGGTCCCTTCTGACAACACGACCAAAGTAGGTGAGACAAAGTCTGGCCATTCTCACTTCCAAGGAGCATTCCGGCTGTACTTCTTCCAGGGCAGATTTGTTAGTTCTGCTGGCAGTCCGTGGTACTTTCAGTATTCTTTGCCAACACCACAACTCAAAAGGATCAACTCTTCTTCAGTCTTCCTTATTCATTGTCCAGGCAATTGAAAATACCATGGCTTGCATTAGGCACTCCTTAGCCTTCAAAGAGGTATCTTTGCTCTTCAGCACTTTAAAGAGGTCTTTTGAAGCAGATTTGCCCAGTGCAGTGCATCTGTGCCAGGTAGTAACTTCATAATCCTGACTGAAAAAGTGGACTTTACACCAATCTGCAGATTTTTATCCAAATGATAAGCAAACAGTTTTGCTTGATACAAAAGAATAAAACAATGTACAACTAACCTGGGGGTGATGTGTTGAGCGTACTGTGTGGTGCTCCGTGTTGGATGGTAGACCATAATGTAGACAGAAGCTGCACTTTTCTATCACACCCAGAGGTGGGTGCAGGCTTCTCTATGATGGCACATTCAATAAACAAATTAATCCTCCCATGGGAGGGGGCAGTGCTTTAATAATCTAGAGGAAATAATATTACATCATTATGTATAATTAGGAGTCCCAGGAGTGGTGAAAATAGTTAAGTGCTCAACAACTAGCCAAAAGGTTATCAGTTCAAACCCAGCCAGAGACACTTCAGAAGACAGGCCTGGTGATCCGTTTCTGAAAGGCCACAGCCGTGAAAACCCGCTGGAGCACAGTTCTACTCTGACACACATGGGGTCACCACGAGTCGGAATCATATAATTGATGTATTTCTACACATATCACCTGATTTAATCTAACACCACCTGACATGCTATGGTGGTATCAAATTCCCCATATTCCAGATTAGAGACTGAGGCCAAGGTCACAGAATTACTATTTGGTAAAGGTAAATTCAGAGCCCTTTCTTATTCAAGCGGGATTGCGATCTTCAGTTAGTATCATTTTATAGACTGTATGCCCGAGGAACTGGGAGCTCTGGTGGTATAGTAGTTAAAGCATTCAGCTGCTAACCCAAAGATCAGTGGTTCAAACCCACCAGCCGCTCCTGGTGAAAGATGAGGCAGTCTGCTTCTGTAAAGATTTACAGATTTGGAAACCCTATGGAGAAGTTCTACTCTGTCCTAAAGGGTCTCTAGCAGTGGGAATCAGACTCAGTAGAGTGAGTTTATTGACCAAGGACAAGACTAACAGCTTGATTCTGAAAACTTCCCTTTCAATTCGCTTTCCCACAGCAACCCCCGCCCCCCATCCTCACATTCAAGGACACAAAGCCAGCACAGGGAGCAATTGCACACAAAACCCAAAGACAAAATAAGAAGAGGCCATTTTGTGAGTGATTTGGGGATGGGAACTTGTTCCTTGTAGAGGGAAAGTTTCCTTGGCTTGGATGATCCTAATGAGTCATCTAGGTTTATGTGCCATAATATGCATGGTTTCTCACCTCTTCCCTTCCCCTGGGCAACGAGAGCACTGAGCCACAAGCAGGCCATGATGGATCCAGCTCCACACTCCCTCCGCATCAGCCTGCTCAGCCAGCATCAGCACAGAGCAGACAGGAGAACCGGGGTAGGGAGAGGTGGCAGGGGAGGGGAGGGGAAGGGAGGAAGCTGTGTCTCCCAGTGGCTGTCAGCTTTCCCAGCTGACTCAACTCACCACTGCTCCTCCCCCCGCCCTGCACACAGCCTCCTAACTTTCCATTTTCAGGCCTCACCACTCTAAGGGTGGGAGGACCCCTCCTGCAGACTGGCACCAGAGTCTGGAGTCTGGGGCTGCCAGCAGTGCAGAAGGCCGGGCACTATGCCCGCTGGCCTCGTGGGCCCTCCCTCAGGACAATTAGAATCGGCTGTAATGGAGAATTCAGAATATAGGTCAAGGTGTTCTCCAGAGAGCCCGGGAGAGGATCACCTGACTGGGAGGTGTGTGACTCAGCAGGAAGGGACATGGGTAAGGAGCAGGAATCTCCTGGCTTACAGGGCTCAGGGAGGTCAAGTCTTCTCTGGCTGACTGTCAGGGGAGGAGGAAGAAGCTGCTGGAGACAGCAGGAAAGATAAAGTGACCTCTGGTGACCTATCTAAGGTGGAATCTGAATCCTTGCCAGAGCGACCTTCCTTTGGGTTGTAGCTGAAACCACTCCCACAGCCATCCCTCTCTGTCTCCCTGGCTGCAGAGACCTAATTAGCTGCCTCCCCTGCCAAAGTGGGAAACGAAACTCACAAAATGCTCATCACCCCAGAATCCACGGACCCAGCCCCAAAAGAAAGAAACCAGAGCTGGTGGTCTACCATCCAAAGGCAGCCATTCCTATTAGAGGCAATTAGATTTTTTTTTCCCCCAATTAATTTTGAATATGAAAATTACTAACCCATTTTATTTTACATCTCTGCACAGCAGGGGCCTCCTTTCAAGGGTGCAGCAGTGGCTGCTGTGGCTGGAACAGCAGCTGCTCTGTCTGAGCCTCGCTTCCTTTGGCTCCAGCTGCAGGTTCCTTCCGGCCAAGCAGGGAGTTTCCTCATTCTCAGGGCTTTCGTCCTAGCCCTTGCTTGCTGGCCACCCTCACCACCCGCCCCCCCCCCCCCCCCCAACTATTCACCACCCTCTGTGGGTAGCACTCTGGGACTCCCTAGTTCCATGAGTCAGAGCCAGGCTGGAGACAGACAGCAGGCTTCCTTTATTAAATCAGCCTCCTGCCCTGTACACCACAGAGGGAAGCTATAATTACTTGTTGGCCCAGCTCTGAGGACTGAGTCACAGACCTTGAGTAGGAGGGCTGGCTCCTGATTTTTGCATTTATCCAGTGCACCCTAGTTTGGAAATAAGAATAACAGCCAGGGTTAAAGGTCTATTATATGAATGTCAGGTATTTTTGCATATGGAATGGGGTGTATTGGGCCTAGAGACCAATGTAAATACATAAGACACAGGGGAAATATTACCATATTAAAGCTTCCAGGAGGCTTCTGTTTGTTTGTTTTTAATGCCTCCTGTCTCATTGGAGCTCTGGTGGTACAGTGTTCATGCATTCTGCTGCTAACCAAAAGGTGGGTGGTTCAAACCCACGAGCCGCTTTGTGGGAGAAAGATGAGCCAGTCTGTTTCCATAAAGATTTACAGCCTTGGAAGACCTATGGGCAGTTCTACTCTGCCTTATAGCGTCACTAGGAGTCAGATTTTCCTCGATGGCTGTGGGTTTGGTTTTGTCTCATTGCTGAAGTCACATTTCAGCCTGGCTGCTCATGGTTGATGATATAGATTTTTTAAGAGATAAAGGAAAAGGCAACACAACATTATTTTGGGTCTTGAGGTCAGGACTTTTCTACCTTTAGGAATTACAGACACAAAATTGCAGGCCTCCCAGCTGTCCTACAGAAATATAGGAAAACTGAAAAAACAATTGGCTCCAAAATGAAAAAATAAAACCACAAAATCAAAATAGTAAAGTCAAACTTCATTAGTAATTGAGCACAATGTAGTATTCATTGGTTCAGTCCATCATTCATTCATTCCTACAGGCAAGCATTTGTTCCACTTATTCAACAAATATTCATTAAGCTGCTGCTCCTCTGTGCCAGGCATGGTTATGTTGTTGTTGTTATGTGCCATCGAGTCAGACCCGACTCATAGCAACCCCTCCTTGGGTTTCCGAGGCAGTATCAGTACGGAAGTAGATTGCCCCATCTTCCTTCTGAGGAGTGGCTGGTGGGTTTGAACCACCAGCCTTCTGGTTAGCAGTCAAGTGCCTTAGGCACTATGCTACCAGAGCTCCCAGGCATGGTTATAGGCACTTGGGATACATAAGAATTAAACCAACCAAAGAGACACACAGACAAATAAGCAGACAAATATGCCTGCCCTTATGGATCAATAATACACAGTAATAAGTAAATTACATGGTACTTTAAAGATGATAAGTGTGATAGATAATAGAAAAATAGAGCAGGGTTAGAGGAATTGTTAGTGAGGGAGGAATTCATAAACATTTCATGACACTGGAGAACAAAGTTGTAGGTTCGATCTCTCTCACAGTGAAGACTCTTCAAGCATGCATGATGTTTGCCTAGAAATCATAAAGTAAATGAGTAACGTGACTAGAGTAAAATTCTTCTGCAGTATTCCTTATTCATTGTCCAGCTTTCACATGCATATGAGGTGACTGAAAATACTATGGCTTGGGTTAGGTGCACTTTAGTCCTCAAAGTGACATCTTTTCTCTTTTGACATTTTAAAGACATCTTTTGCAGCAGATTTGCCCAATGCAATACAATGTTTGATATCTTAACAGTTGCTTCCATGGACACTGATTGTGAATGTCAGTAATATGAAATCCTTGACAACCCCAATCTTTTCTCCATTTACCGTGATGTTGCTTATTGGTCCAGTTGTGAAGATTTTTGTGTTTTCTTTTTGATTACACTTTTTGTTGAGGGGTAATCCATACTGAAGGCTGTAGTCTTTAATCTTCATCAGTAAATGCTTCAAGTCTTCTTCACTTTCAGCAAGCAAGGATGTGTCATCTATATGTCGCAGTTTGTTAATAAGTCTTCCTCCAATCTTTATGCCATGTTCTTCTTCATATAGTCTAGCTTCTCAGAATATTTGCTCAGCATACAGACTGAATAAGGATGGTGAAAGGATACAACTCTGACACACACCTTTCCTGATTTTAAACCATGCAGTATCTTCTTGTTCTGTCTGAACAACTGCCTCTTGGTCTACGTATAGGTTCCTCATGAGCACAATTAAGTGTTCTGGAATTCTCATTATTAACAGTGTTATCCATAATTTGTTAGGGTCCACACAGTCAAATGCCTTTGCATAGTCAATAAAACACAGGTAAACATCTTTCCAGTATTCTTTGCTTTCAGCCAGATCCATCTGACATCAGCAACAATATCCCTTGTATTTTGGTTACCTCTAGTGCCACTCTAACAGAAATATACCACAAATGGAAATGGCTCGAACAAACAGAAATTTATTCTCTTACAGTTTTGGAGGTTAGAAGTCCGAGTTCAAAGTGCCAGGTTCTAGGAGCTAGGTGAAAGGCCCTCAACCTTGGGCTTTAGCTCTGCCTCTTGCTCCCGGCCCACAGAAAGCTAGAGGCATCTCTTCACTCTGGCAGCTGCTGGCTGCTGAGGCTAACAAACCCAAGGTCAACATGTGAAAAGTCACAGTCCCAATATTACCAAACCACATGGAAGGCCATTCTTTCAAGTCCATTAAAATTCCCAAGATCTGGTACATCTTGGCCGGCTGCTGAATAACAACTCGGCTACATGCAGTGTTCAAGCATGCCATAAGCAGGAGACCTTCCTCAAAGCTGCTTTTTATATCCTGGAAGCAGACCACATCCCTAAAGCAGCTAATCAGCTCCTCCAGGAGATTCTACCATGGAACTGAATGCCAATTTCACCATGCGGAATAACTACATCCAGTTGCCCAGCCACTCAACCAGGCCCAGCCAAGTAGACAGCAACCTTAACTACTACACCTTGTTCTATGTCCTTTTCTGAATCCATGGTAAACTCATTTGTCAGTTTGTCGTACTGTGGTAGCTTGCATATTACTGTGATTCTGGAAGCTATGCCACCACTATTTCAAATACCAGCAGGGTCACCCATGGTAGACAGGTTTCAGCAGACTTTCCAGACTAAGACAAACTAGGAAGAAGAACGTGGCCATGTCCACATCTGAAAAAAACTGGCCACCAGCTGAAATGGACTGGTACTAGACATTTTGTATCAGACAATCACATGGTCTACTATGCTGGGAATAACAAATTAAAGAGAAATGGCATCACATTTGTCAAAACAACATTTCAAGATCTATCCTAAAATACAATGCTATCAGTGATGGGATAATATCCATATGCCTACAAGGAAGATCAGTTAATACAACTATTATTCAAATTTACACACCAACCATTAAAGGCAAAGATTTAAAAAATTGAAGATTATTACCAATTTCTACAGTCTGAAATTGATCAAACATGCAATCAAGATGTATCGATAATTACTGGTGATTGAAATGCAAAAGTTGGAAACTAAGAAGCAGCATTGATAGCTGGAAAATATGTCCCTTGGTGATAGAAATTATGCTGGAGATCCCATGATAGAATTTTACAAGACCAAAGGCTTATTCATTGAAAATACCTTTTTCAACAAAATAAACAACTACTATACATGTGGATCTCACCAGATGCAATACACAGGAATCAAACTGACTACATCTGTGGAAAAAGACAATGAGAAAGTTCAATATAATCAGTCAGAACAAGGCCAGGGGTCGACTGTAGAACAGACCATCAATTGCTCCTATGCAAGTGCAAGTTGAAGCTGAAGAAAATTGAAACAAGTCCACAAGAGCCTAAGCACAACCTTAAGTATATTCCACTTGAATTTTAAGACCATCTGAAGAATAGATTTGATGCACTGAACACCAGTGACCAGATGAGTTGTGGAATGACATCAAGAATATCATACATGAAGAAGGGCAATGGTCATTAAAAAGATAGGAAAGGAAGAGAAGACCAAAATGGATGTCAGGAAAGATTCTGAAACTTGATCTTGAACAGAGAGTAGCTAAAGTGAATGGGAAAAATTATGAAGCAAAAGAACTGAACAGAGTTCAAAGGGCAGCTCAAGAGGAAAAAAAAAACAACCAAAACCAAACTCATTGTCATTGAGTCGGTCTCAACTCATAGCGACCCCTCCTTGGGTTTCCGAGGCAGTATCTCCATGGAAGTAGATTGCCCAGTATTCCTTTCAAGGAGTGGTTAGTGGGTTTGACCTGCCAGCCTTCTGGTTAGCAGTCAAGTGCCTTAGGCACTATGTCACCAGAGCTCCTAAGTAAAGTATTATAATGAAGTGTGCAAAGACCTGGAGTTGGAAAATCAAAGCGTAAAAACATGCTTGGCATTTCTCAAGCTAATAGAATTGACAAAAAAAATTCAAGCTTGAGTTGCAATACTGAAGAATTCTATGCAATACTAAGAATTCAATGCAATACTAAGAATTCAATTCAAAATATTGAACGACACAGGAAGCATCAAAAAATATAAAGGAATATAGAGAGTTACTGCACCAAAAAGAACTGATCGATGTTCACCCATTTCAGGAAACAGCATATGATCAAGAACCAATGGTACTGAAGGAAAAAATGTAAGCTACACTGAAGGCACTGATGAAAAACAAAGCTCCAGGATTGATGAAATAACAGATGCAACACTGAGACACTCACTCCTTTATGCTAAGAAATTTGGAAGACAGCTACCTGGCCAACCAACTGGAAGAAATTCAATTTGTACCCATTCCAAAGAAAGGTGATCCAACAGAATGGGGAAATTATCAAACAGTATCATCAATATCATAACTCACTCAAAACTCACTGCCATCAAGTCGATTGAGACTCATAGCGACCCCTCCTTGGGTTTCCAAGGTGGTATCTCTACAGAAGTAGATTGCCCAATCTTCCAAGGA